TATATATATACTAATACTAAAATGATGATAAGTAATTAAATTAAAGAATAAATTGTACTCATCTCTTATTTAAATAGCACACTTCTTTACTTTAATTTTAAAAATAATTGACCTCTCTTAAAATAATGTCATTAATTAAAGTGAAAAAAAAAAGAGTAAAGTTTAATTCATATTTTAACAATTATATACACATATATCCTTTATTTTTGAATTATATATAATATTATGTCATACTTATGAAAAATTTTATTATTCTTTAATTTTGAAAATAATAATTTTTTAACTCGTTGAAATTATTTCTTAAAATTGATATGTTTTTTAAGTCACAACACCCACATGATATTTACAATATAATTTGATAATTAAAATTCAGTAAGAAATCAAGAACTTGTTTGAATATCAATTAAAAATACTTTTAAAAACTTTTCTACTAAAAATAATAATAATAATTTTTAGTAGAGAAACACTAGAAAAACGTATATAAGCTTATATCAAAATAGACATTAAGTATAAATGATATTAATAATATATTCTCTCCTAACAATGCATAAATGATATTATTTTATATTAAAAAAAATTACATGTGTAACTTAGATTAATAAATAAAAAAAATTGATGAAGAAAAATATGTTACATTTAAAAAAGGGAAAGAAAAAAAAAACTCTAGCAAAGCTCAATACAATTTTCTCAAAATTAAAAGACTTATTTGACAGAATCAATTTGACAACTTCTTAATCTCAATAAACAATTTGGCAGTACCTTTGGAATTAAGAGACGAAAGTATGCGTTTACTCATGCTTGGTGATATGCTACGCACTCAAAAATTGGAGGGACAATGATTCCATTCCATATGTGAAAGAAAGGTTCCAACTATGCTTGGGTTTTTAAAATTTTAATCATAGTTTTTGTTGAATGCTTTTCATTCTTGCACTTGATTTTTTGTTTTGAAATGAAGCAATGTTGTTGCTATTGGTTCCTTTGATTCATTCAGTAGATCATGATGCTCCAAAGCAACAACACTAAATGGCGGGAGAAATTGTGTTAATTAATTGGAATCCTTTGCATTTGGGACAGTCCTACGTTTTCATCCTTTCATTACCCTATGAATGGGTAACGCCTCAATTAATATTAGAAGATGGGCCACAAAACCCAAGGATGTTGTCAGTCAAAGTAGGTTACGGATCTCATGTTGCTTCCATTATTTTATTTTTCTTGATAGTAACTAATTAATGAATCAAACTATTTGTGGTATGATTAATAAATTAGTATCAAACAGAACCGAATTGAACAAACCTCTACTTCTTGTAACCTGATGGGTATATATATTTATTCTTAAGAGTTAAGATATTTGATTGAGAAAAGGTAGCATAAACTTGGTAATAATAGTAATGTTGTGAAAAATAAGTTTTTAGATGAAGCATAAAGGCTTATAATATCTTCCATTTCTAACCCATAATTTTTTGCAACATGTAATTGAGATGCAGACTTAAACAAACAACATTTTTAGGAGGAATTTAAATTTAAAAATGCAGTGAACTCTTGAGGTTGTATCTTAATTACCACTAGTATTAGTATTTTGTTTTACATATTCATTCATGTGCCACCGACATGTTTATTTAGTTCCAAGGAGACAGAAGAGGTTGTCGTAAAATAATGGGGACAATGCTTTGGTTGGTTATCAATTTCTGATAGTCTGGCACATGATGTCAAGATCAAAAATAAACACGCAGTGAAACTGTGAAAGAGTTCACGAGCATCCTTGTATAATTGCTCCTCTTCAAAAATAAATATAAGTGTTATTTTAATCACATTTTTAAAATTAATTTTGCTATAATTTGATTGGAAATTCAATTCATAAGCAGGGATTCGTGTTTAGAAATTTCTGATCTCTTAAGTATTTGTTTTTGGATTTGATCGATCTTGAAATTCATGTATGAAATAGCAATGTGTTATGAGGGACTTTCCCTTTGTATTTTGTTTGGATTAAGAGTGAAATAGAGAGAAAAAGATAAAAATGAAAAATAGATTAAAAAATGTGTAGATTGATAGAATAAGAGGAACAAATATTTCCATTAATTTGGATAAATAGAAAATAAAGTGAAAAATATATTGGGTGAAAAAATTATGCCAACTAAAATTAGTAATTTTTACTCTATTTTTTAACGTAAGATAATTTACATTTATATATATATATATATATATATATATAATTTAAAAATGGTAGATTAAGACAATTATGTAGTATCAATTAGGTTTAATATGATATTTTCACTAACAGAGACACTAGTAGGTAGATTTTAAGTGATAATATTTAATAATTTCTCTAATAAAACTTGAGTATAAGGACTAAAATAAGAGTTTTTAAAATTATAAGAATTAAAAAGATCAATAGTTTTAAATTTGAGGAACTAAAAATAAATTTATCTTAAATTTAATGGACTAAAAATATATTTAAAATATATTATAATAATAAAAAATAAAGAAGCATAATATAATGGACCTGGGAATTTGTATAACTTTTCTTTCAACAAACAAAGAAATTATCCAATATTTCTCCTGATTTTTTTTTTAAATCTCTCCCCTCTAAATTAGCAAATACAAACACAATTTTAGACTTTTAGTGATTATACATAAAGGACAAAATAGTCATCACGTACTATAGGATTATATAGCAGAAATTCATATCTCACTATGTGGAAGGAATTTTGACCAATCCTCGTATAGACAATATAATATTTTTACTTTAAATGAGAAAAATAATACAATAATCATATTATCTGTATTTGACTTTTGGAATACTTTATCAAGTAACATATTCTAGTGGGGAGAAGGGTTTGTGTTAATTTGTTAAGAAGTTGCATATTGAGTATCATATGAGTGGCAAAAGTCCATACACTTTAAAGTTTGGTTAAATATAATATTAAATTCATTTGTATAGTTCTTTCCTGAACGGAATGAGGTTCAAACAAGAACTTGTGCATACATAGAATGACAGAAATAATAGACACATTATACAATAAGTACAGTTATGACACACTAATACTACAAAATGTGATGATTTCGTTTAAGTGCAAAATTTTATAATTTTTGTGTATGAAACTCTCTTCGTTTTATGCTAGTAGTGGGATTTAAGAACAAAAGTCAGAGAGATTTCAATGATTCGTTTTCTGAAAGTCTTCAGACCCAAAGCGGACAATATTTCACCAATATGGATTAAGCCTAACTCAACCCTACAAAACCAGCTTGTAAGGTGAGGGTTATTTTTCACTTATATACTATTCAATTGCTTAATCTCTAGTCGATGTGGGACTTGGGTTTTTCCCAATACACCTCACGTCCAGTACTATTAGGCTGACTTGGATTTTTCCCAATAGATCCCCTCACGTCCAATACTATTAGGCTTGATACATGGATAAATGGTGGGTGGCCCTTTTTAATGATCTAGGATTGGCGGGACTTGGATTTTTTCTAATATACTCCCTCATGCCTATGAAGCATGCATCAATATAGTTTGATCAGCTCATGATGGAACGTGCGTGCAAGCACTCTGAGCGTGAGTGACCCTTTCGGGTGATGTCCAAAAACAAATCCATTAAAAACAAATTAAAAAAAAATGGATGAGTAGTTAGATTAATTCTCAACGTAGTAATCTTTCTTACTAAGAAAATAAAATTAATTTTTACTGCCTGTAGAATATCTATACAATAAATAAAGGGACATCAAGATTTTGGTCTCTATTATTTTTTTTAGTCAATTTTGCCCTTCTTTAATGAGATAATCACATCTTCACCTCTTCTAAATAATGACACTTATGTAATTCTTTTTTTACATACACAATTATGTTCATAGATTTATATAAATCAACTGCGATGGATTTATAACTGCAGCAAGTTACTTTAATCTCTTACCATTTTTTATTCAGCCTTTGCTCTTCCTTTTTTGTTTTTCACTTTGGCCAATATTTTTTTAAAGAGTAATGTTATTGAACTCATTCTCATTCTATTATAACTTTTGAAATCATGTATTAATTAAAGGAAACATTACATCAAATCTCTTCGAAATTGTGCATTACTTTTTCTTTTTACGTTTCATTTTTTATTTAAATAAAATAAATAGAGACACCTCGATAATGACTAAAATATTAGTAACGATAACGATTCAAGGATTATGATTTCTTGAAATAATGAGAATAATGAGAAGGAATTAGCTATGAGAATCGCCTTATTTGCAAAAAAAAAAAACCAATAATTTAACATTGTTTTTAGGTGTAACTGATGTTTAAAAAAGAAAGAAAGAATGTAATTGATCAAAGTATATGTAATCTAATGGAGTATTTGGATGTTGGGCCAGCAAGGGTGGATCCAGATGGTGCCAGGCATGTTAGGAGCAGCTCCACCCTGGCAATGCAACTCCTTCCTCTAATTTCCCAACACATTTGCCAACCATTCAATTGCATGCTCAATGGCCTCTTCATTCAGACAATATTCTCATCTCTTCTTGTCTTCTCTCATCATGTTCTAAGCATATAGTGTTTTCTGATGTATACAAAATTGTTCAATGAATAAAGGAATACGTTACTACTGATACAATGAGAGTGTACTATGTGGTAAGCTTGCTTAGGTGAGTTCTGTCAAAGATAAGGGAAGGGAATAAATTGGGTTGCAATATCATGGAACTCTTACTTTCTCCTAGCCATGCAAGAATCAATTATTATGTTGTGAAGTGTGATTAGCATTGAATAATAATAAGCTGTCAAAAAGAAAACATTGATAAATAAAATATTAGATTCAGCATGATATCAAACTAACATTTGTGCCCAATATTTTTAAGGCCTGATTCATATGGGAAAAAAATGATTAGTGAATTACAAAAAAAATATTTAAAAAATTATGAAGAATAATATAAATAATTTGATGTTTTTACTATTTTTATACAAACACTTCATATCCCAAAACAAAATAAAGCAGTTTTGTTATTTTTTTCAAAGATGATTTTCTAAATACTAATAAAAATAGGAAATAAAATAAAAATATTTTCTTGAATCAAATTGACTTATTAAAAACTAACATAATAAAGTGAGTCGAGTTATTAATCAGAGCACGTCGGTATTAAGTAAAAAAAAATTGACTGAGATTTAAAGTTTTTATGTTCAAACTCTACTCCTTAATTCGGATTCCCAATACTAAAAACAAGCAACAATGACATGCTAAACTTTATTAAGCTACGAATTTAATCCTAAATCAAGGGAAATAATCAAGTTAAATAGGATAAGGTATTAGTCGCAAACTTAAGTCTCAAAACGTAAAATAATGCTTGCTTAAAAAGATGATTGGTTCATGAAATTAATTAAACTCAACTATAATGAACTTAGAAAAAGAATTTAATTTATCATTGGACAAAGCTTACTGGCTCGACTCATTTCTAAACATATTTGAAGCTATTATTATATTATTTGAATTGAAACAAAATGAATTTCTTACTTGAAGTAGTTCAACATGCCTCGCATTGGAAAATGTGATGGAAGTCAAATTAAATAAAAGGCCAAGGCAAGGGATACCTTCAATAGATACAAAATGAAACGTTGAGACTTAAGAATAGATTGAGTAATGAAAGCAACAAAGACTTGGCCAATAAAATTGTTTCCTTTATCAAAATGATTTTTAAACAAAGTATTCATCCATCCAGGAGAAAACTGGATAAAGTATCCAAAAACACAAAAACAGCATTAACAATAACAATAACCCATGTCTGTACCGAAAAAAAAGTTGGCCAATATTCTAAAACATAAAAACAATAAATTACCCAAAACAATAGATCCGTCTAAGTCAAAAAATAATTTAATCAACTTCTTCGATCTTGGGGCCAGCACCACCGGCTCCAGATGATGGAACATCTTCATCCATGCCTCCAGCCATGTCAGGAGCACCTGCACCCTGGTACATCTTGGCAATGATTGGGTTGCAAATGCTCTCCAGCTCCTTCACCTTGTCTTCGAACTCATCTGCCTCCGCAAGCTGGTTTCCATCCAACCACTGAATGGCACTCTCAATGGCATCTTCGATCTTCTTCTTGTCGTCAGCAGAAAGCTTGGATGCAATCTTCTCATCCTTAATGGTGTTCCTCATGTTGTAGGCATAGTTCTCCAAACCGTTCTTTGCATCCACCTTCTTCTTGTGTTCCTCATCCTCAGCCTTGTACTTCTCTGCCTCCTGAACCATCTTCTCGATCTCGTCCTTTGAGAGTCTACCCTTGTCGTTGGTGATTGTGATCTTGTTCTTTTGCCCTGTTGTCTTGTCCTCGGCAGAGACATTCAAGATACCGTTGGCATCAATGTCGAAGCAAACTGTGATCTGAGGAACACCCCTGGGTGCTGGGGGGATACCAGATAACTCGAATTTGCCCAACAAATTGTTGTCCCTAGTTCTGGCTCTCTCTCCTTCGTACACTTGAATCAACACACCAGGTTGGTTGTCTGAGTAAGTAGAGAAAACTTGTTCCTTCTTGGTGGGAATAGTTGTGTTCCTTGGAATGAGAACAGTCATGACACCACCGGCAGTTTCCAAACCGAGAGAAAGGGGTGTAACATCCAACAGCAAGAGGTCCTGAACCTTCTCGTTACCCTCACCACTCAATATAGCAGCCTGAACAGCAGCTCCATAAGCAACAGCCTCATCAGGGTTAATGCTCTTGCAAAGCTCCTTGCCGTTGAAGAAATCCTGCAACAGCTGCTGCACCTTGGGGATTCTGGTGGATCCACCAACAAGAACAACATCATGGACAGAGCTCTTGTCCATCTTGGCATCCCTCAAACACTTCTCAACGGGCTCCATACACTTCCTGAAAAGATCCATGTTGAGCTCCTCAAACCTGGCACGGGTGATTGTGGTGTAGAAGTCAACACCTTCGTAAAGAGAATCAATCTCGATGGTGGTCTGTGCAGTGGACGAAAGAGTCCTCTTCGCTCTCTCACAGGCAGTCCTCAACCTCCTAAGAGCCCTAGGGTTTCCACTGATGTCCTTCTTATGCTTCCTCTTGAACTCCTGAACAAAATGGTTAACCATTCTGTTATCAAAATCTTCACCTCCAAGATGGGTATCTCCAGCAGTGGCCTTGACCTCAAAAATACCCTCCTCAATAGTGAGAAGAGAGACATCAAAGGTACCACCTCCAAGGTCAAAAATCAAGACATTCTTTTCACCCACGCTAGTGGCCTTCTTGTCAAGACCATACGCAATGGCGGCGGCGGTGGGTTCATTGATGATACGCATCACATTGAGACTAGCAATGACTCCGGCGTCCTTTGTGGCCTGACGCTGGGAATCATTGAAGTATGCAGGAACCGTGACCACTGCGTTCTTCACGGTGGAACCGAGATAAGCCTCGGCAATCTCACGCATCTTCATGAGAACCATAGAGGAAATCTCCTCAGCAGCGAATTGCTTGTCCTCGCCCTTGTAATTGACCACAATCATAGGCTTATCACCGGGACCGGCAACAACCTTGAATGGCCACAACTTTATATCACTCTGGACGGAAGCATCACTAAACCTCCTTCCAATCAAACGCTTGGCATCTAAAATCACACAACAAATAATCAGTCACCAATCAAGTTTTTATTACATCATCATCATCATAATAATTATAATAATCACAACAAGAAGAAAATATATCTTTTATCTCTCAACACATCGTATAAGTTAAGAACCAATCTACACTGAGAACTTTAGTCTCTATTGTATATACTCTCCATATTAATCAAAATAAAAACTATTTATTCTGCTTGAAAATAATAATAATAATAATAATCACAATAATAATAATAATAATTATAATAATAATATTAACCATCGATTCAACAGATCAAATAACTCTCCTAACAACAATGAACTGATGCATAATGATATTCATTTCAAAATTAGATTTCAACGAACAATTACAAGTAACAGGCGCATGTGCATATTAATCAATTCAAAATCATACTTCCAATGCATGTGCATAATATTACACGGTACAGAATCAGATTTCAACAAAATACTATTGTACGTACAAGCAAAGCGATTCCAGTTAAAACACAAATAACACAGTAAACCGGCTCAAATCATGCATCGATTCACAATCCTTGTTATTCATTTTAACAATAACGATAGTATAGACAAAGCAGGTAGATATACGATAACAAAATATAAATTACAAAAACAAAAAAAAAAACACAGAGTGACAAATAACAGATCTACGAATCTAACAACATTCCACACGTTTAGAGATCCAATACATATATACGCACAAAGCAGATCTTGATAAAGCGAAGACTCGGAAAGTTGACTTACCGAAGACGGTGTTGACCGGGTTCATGGCGACCTGGTTCTTAGCGGCGTCACCGATCAAACGCTCGGAGTCGGTGAAACCGACGTAAGACGGCGTGGTCCTGTTCCCCTGGTCATTGGCGATGATTTCGACGCGGTCGTGCTGCCACACTCCGACGCAGGAGTAGGTGGTGCCGAGATCTATTCCGATAGCGGGACCGTCGCCCTTTCCGGCCATTGATAGATCGTAGATTACAGAGAAGGTAGGGTTTGGGTGCGGAGCGGCGCAGGGAAGAAAAAGAGAGAAGAGAATAGAATGGTTGTGCTACGATATGAGTTAGGGTAGAGAGGATGTGGTGTTTATATAAGTGCGTGGGGTTTTTTAATTTGGAAATTTAGAATTCTAGAAAGTTCTTTTGGTTACGTAGGAATGGAGCGATACGCGGGAACGGATTCTCTGCTTCTGGTTGGTTCCAGAGGTTTCTTTTTATCTGCCACCTTGGACACGCACGCCACACTACTTTGCTTCTGTCTGTTTTAAACTTGGTAACGGAACTCTGCTTTATTGTAACGTTCACAAATTTTATATTTTCAAATTGTCATCGCCTGGCCTGAATCTCATTTTAAAAACTATAAAAGAAAATACTATTATTTTATTCACAAGGAAGGTAGAAACAACAAGAAATCTAATGCCATAAATGTAACTAAAAATTTGTATTTATGAAGCAAAAGTTATAACTAATCACGTTAATAATTCATACTCCTTCCCAAGTTATATTAATAGTAAAAATAAAAAAATTTATGCATATTTAAAAATTATTAAATGTATTTAATTTTTATAAGATTGTCATTATTACTATTAGTTTTTTAGTTTTTTTAATTAAATATAAAAAGTTATTACTTTTATTACTATCACAATATCATGATTGTCCTTAAAAAGTGGATTTTAATCTATTTAAATTTTACAAAATCAACTTATAAAAAAAATTATTATCACTTATATATTTTTTATTTGTTTTATCTCGAATTTCTAATTAATATAAAACTTTTTTTTTCGAATCATTTATTCTCCCTTGAAATTATTAAGTTTGATATATATGTATATATATAAACAATGAGTTTTTTTCAATTATACAAAAAGTGAGATTTAGGTTATTTACTTTTTTTTAATATTTGTATCAGTCACATTTTTCTACAATATTGAAAATTATTATAAAATCGCAACTCTAGTCTTTTTTTTAGTCCATCAAGATTATATTAATGAAACCAAAATTTAAATTTAGAACTCTACACTAAGACAACCTAATGGCTCACTTGAACGACAATTTAAACCTATAATTAGACTATTGAAATAGGTTGGAGGGGCAACAGCATCATTATTATTATTTTTTTTCCTTTGAACATTGTACACCTGAATACTTGGGTTTCAAAAATCACTACTTCTGAAGAGCCAATTTTATAGCCCACTTTAGGCCCATTACTTCAACCAGATGTAGATAACAGGTGCGTGGAAATCACGTGTTCTGCCGGTATTTAAAGAAATACAAATATTTTTTTTCGTTTGTTCGTTCCTGAAGTATCCACTCCAGGGTAGGATAGTTGGCCCCAAGATTTAACGCAGCTGCATACACAAGGCAGGATTCGAACCCCTGACCTTGCTTAAGCATGGATCACCCCTACCGCTGAACCACACGCTTGGGGTTAAAGAAATACAAATATATTAAATCAGTTTATTTCCCGTGTAAATGTAAAGAAGCAAACCAAACTAGATACAATTTTATTTTTTCATTTGTTACTTTCTCAATTATTTTAATACTAATATTTTAACATATACAATCAACAAATTAAATGATTTTTTTTTAAATAAAAAACTTTTATGAATAAATATTTACTCAAAATTATGTTAATTAATTGGTACTTCAACAAAAAATGGAACACACCCGTATTTGTCGTTGGTAGCATTGATTTTCTATAGTTTAAACAGAGTCTGATTTTTAGTGGACAATAATAAACCTTGCTGATTAAGCAAGCAAACACTTTCATTTTTTAATCTAAGTTCTTTAAGAAAACTGTGACCAAATTGAAGATGGTTGGAAGAATTTGTGGCAATCAAATTTAGCTTTGTTAATAAACTTTGTTTTGCCGACCTTGTCCTACTGTAATGTAATTTAGTCAACCGGATTTGTGATCAAGTTAAATTTGATTAAGATGAGTTATTGATAACCAACATCCAACTTGATTAATTAAGGAATATTTTTATTTTTAAATCAAATACAATTAATCTTCGATAAAATAAATATTAAATTATTAAATATAATTAAAATTAGTCAGATCAACGAGAGTCATGATATCATAAATGAGATTTATCTCTCACTAATATAGTAAGACAAAAAAATAATAATTAATTTTAATTACAAAATAATTTTTATGTATTATTGATATTTTTTTTACATCGTCCATTGTGAATATGACTTTTAAAGTATTTACTAAAAAATATATTATATATAATAATTTATTGTTTAAATAATTTTTTTTACTAATAGTGTACATTTTTAAAAAAAATATTTAACTACGTATTTATATTACAATGGTTATTTTTCATTGAAAATGTGAATTTTCCTGAAAATAAAATTGTGTCTGCTCTGTCCTCTGGCTCATTCGTATGTTTATCTAAAATGAAATAAGTGTAGATCTTTCGTTTTCATATGAAAACAAGTTATCATTTTCAACTATTTGTCATTTTGCAATCAAATTATTTTCTTAATGCAGCAACTTGGCCTGTATAGTTAAGCAACCATAATCATTGTGTCAGGTGACAAAATAGAATATTTTATATTTATATATAAATGGAAGTTATATATTTATATTCAAACATCACAATCAACGGCGATGGTTTAAGATGACTTATTAAAAAAAAAAAAAAAACTCAAGTCATATATTCACTAAAAAACAATAATTAAATATAGAAATAAAAATAACTTTTATTTTACGACTGAGTTTGATTTAAACCATATTTTTAAGACTAATTATATAAATTCATTTTACGTGTGATATTTGATTTACGAAGAAAGTTAGTTTAAACTATTTAAACTTTGTCTAAGAGAAAAACTTGAATATGTTATATGGGAGAGTTTGAAAAATATTAAAACAAAAAAGTGGGGAGTGCGTAGACATGTTAGCGTGACAACAGTTTCCACCCACATGATTAATGTACTTTTTTTAATATTATTCCCACAGTATTATATAGTCTAATTATATAATTGTTTAAAATGTTTCTTTGTCTTTTGCATTTTTTTGATTTTTTTCCTCGTTTGATAATGAATGATACATGCACCTCTCATTTGTTTATTGACCTGTGGTGATGTTTTTGGCACATTTTGGAAAAGTTGTAGTGGCTGTTTATTAATTAGTATTATTATTTATCATAGTTGTTGGTATTTTATAACTATGGCTACTTCGGACTATTCAACGAAAGGGAAATGAGTCTAATAATTTTTACATTTTAAATATTTTTCAGTATGAAAAGTTAGGTCGAGTATCCCACATGGATACCCCTAGACAGGTTCGAATATCCCCACACACACACATATTTACTTTCGATGTTGGCGAGGGTGTTTTGTTTGTATAATCAAAACCTAGTAAAAGGAAAAGAAGAACAAACAAAAACATGTTTATCTATATATTAATAACTATTAATAAAAGAGATTAGAATATATATAACTATTTTTTTAATAAATTATTATATCCCTTAAATATAATTTTTTTTTATATTTTATCTGAATAATTATTCATATTTTTCTAATATTATATTTATGTAATTATTAGAGTACTTATTAATAAAAAAGGATTAGAGTATGTAAAAACTTTTGATCTTAACTTTTTAGTAGATCATTATATCTTTAATATGTATTTTTTTATATATCTTATTTAAATAACTATCAATAATATTTTAATATCATGTTTATGTATAATTATTAGAGTACCTAATAATAAAGGGGGTTGGAGTATATAACAACTTTTGATCTCCACTTTTTAGTAAACTATTATACTCTTCGGATGTAAATTTATTATTATTTTTATATCCTATACAAATAATTATTTATAATCTTTTAATATCATGTCTATTTATAATTATTAGAAATACAAAGTGTCTCGACCCCTCTAGTATATATATAAAAAAATATTCCATTTGATATATAAGAAAATTAAAGAAAAAAATTTAATGTGAATCCCATATTAAATTCATTTTTTCTATTCTCATGGTAAAATAATGATAAAGAGAGAAAGATGATAAAAATACTATTGTGTCCCTTGTGTTTACATCAAATAAATACAAAATTATTATTTTATTCTAAATTTGATATAAATAATTTTAAAAATTATTAATATTTTAAAATTTATCTTGAGTTTTTATTTATTTATTTTTCATTAACAATTTATTTTATCTTTTATTATATAGTATAGAGAGTTACTATGAATAAATGAAGAATAAATTTATTTTTCACATGCTTTATTTTCATTTTACTCAATAGAAAATTATTTTTATTTTTGTTGTAATTTTTATTTTACCTTTTTTTTACTTGAAGATATTTACATGATTTGTATATACTTATTTCTTTTCATTGTTTCATTTTATCTTCTTTCTTATTAAACAAATAAATATTCATCTTACCTTTTTTTTTAATTTTTTTTCTTTTCTTTTCACTTTTTTCTCTCACTTTATTTCATTTATCTGTCTTTCATCGACCAAGCAAATTAAACTCATTCTAAGTAATAAAACGTTAATATATTTATCGAAAGTAATTATACCCAAAAAGTAGTTTTTTTAAATAGTACATAATTAAAAAATAAGTTAAACTTGAATAGTTTATCTACAAATCATCGTATTTAAAAAATATATTTTTCATGAAAATGTATGACTTTCTTCTCACCAAAACAACTTTAGGTGATATTTTAGTGGCAATTTCGAATCGAAAACTATAATTAAGAAAGAGGTCCATTATTTGAGTGTAATTGTGAAAAATCCAACATAAAAGGAATCGTGTAGAGAATTAATTTGAAAAGTCAAAAGTGAAAGTGCAGATTACATTTACGGCTATAATTAATAATTTCCACATGGCTTGGACTTAGGGAGAATAGACACACCACAAGTGTCAAATGGTCCAATCAAAGGTTTATGTCCAAATCATAAATGAAAATGTGGCCACAATAATTCCATTCACTGTTCAAGTCCACATCACATTTTCATAAATCTCCACCCTCCACCGATAAAAGCCACGTTCAACACAAAACTCAAATAAATGTTAAATATTTTTTTAGACTAAATTTATTTGTAGTTCAATATAAAATATATAAATTTAAAATAGTTATTTTAATTAAAATTATTTCTAATTATTTAATACTCCGTTTGATATTTGTCTCTTTTAATTATTTACTATTTTAGTGCTTTTTTTATGTTTTTTTATCGATCTTATTCGTAAAGATATAAATAAGAAAATAATTATTTCCATTCTAAAAAATTAAAATATAGTTAAAATAATTATGTTTTATTGAAAAATTATGAATAAAAAACTGTGATTATATTTAAATGACTTTTTGCCTAATTTACATTTTTATTTTTTTTCCAACAGACACAGTGTAATTTCTACTATTCATTTGAAAAAAAATAAAAATTATAACAATTTGTCTTGTAGTACGTGAAAACGAATAATAACTAGCATGGACATAGTACGTAAGATAAATTTTTATTTTATATAACAAAAAATAATATTTTTAAAATAACTAAAATTTATAATAAATAAATATATTAAATATATTATTTATTGATAATTAAAAATTATAATACTTATATCTATTTAATCATATAATGTATATATTAAATTTTTGATAAATAAATTATATTATGATAACTTTTATAAATATTAAAAATTAATTTAAAAATCAAATAAAATATTTTTTAAAAATTAAAATCTTGAAAAATGTTCTTTAAAAAAATAGTTAAAAATATTGTTATTAAAAAATAGTCTATAAAATATATTTTACAGACATTATTGCTTGCTTGTTTATTAATCTTAGCAAAACGGCAAAATCTCGATAAAGGCATCTTGTTTGTTTATTAATAATATTCAGGTAATTGTAAATAATAATTCCTGCAATTATGAGTTTACCACAATTAAAATGTTGAGTATGTATTATTGTATTATATATAAAAAAAATGTTAGGCGACAAAATTAACATTTTTTTTCTTTTTACCTACACTATCTCAAAATATAAAAATTTGATTTAAAAACAGATTAAAATATTTATTTTATTTAGTAACTGAAAAAGATATATTGTGAAAGATAAAAAAGGAAAATTCTAAAAGGCTTCCATTAGAAAAGATATAACTATACACATTGAAAAAAATTGCCTAAAAACGTTATGATTTGAATTTTTTTTATAATTATATATATATAATAAATTTATAAAATGAAAAAAAAAATTGATTACCAAAAAAAATGAAAAAAAAAATTATTTTGAAATATAATTTATATTTATATTTTATTATTATCAAATACAAAATAGTTCTAGATTCGGAATAGACCGTTCTGGTCACTCCTGAACTTCTATAAATAGGGGTTGTATGATTGAGGAGAAAGTGAAGTTTTTAGAGAGAAGCTTTAGAGAGAAGGACTCTAGGTATGTGAGCTTCTTTCTCTCCCAATTTTTTCTGTATGATTCATTTTCTCCTCTAGATCACTAATATCTTTTGTATTTTCTTGAAATTCAGATTAAGAAGCTTGTTTTGGGAGGATTGAGGTTTTGGGTTGAGCTTCGGAAGGGAATTCTACTTATTCTCAGTTATCGACTATTTTGAACCAATCTTCAGGTAAGGGAAGCTAGAATGTTTGTTGTTTAAGTTGCATGTGAGTTTAGAAACTCAATTGATGCATGAAAGTTGAAGATTCATGCCTGAATCAGAGAATTCACTCATTTTTTGGAGTTTTTGGAAAAATGGGATTTTTGGTGAATTTGATGCATCAGATGAGTGCATGTTGATTTTGAGTTTATTTTGTGTTGTATGGAGCTTATGCATTGTGTTTGCATATGGTTGAATTTGTTAGTTTGGATGAGAGTTTTGAACTCTCTGACTGGGATTAGGCTAAGTACAGGTTGAGCGTCCCAGGCGTAGAAGAGACTCTCAGGTCAGATGTTGGGCCAGGCGTGATTTGGTTGCGTCAGGCGTGAAAACTCTTAAGAGTAAGAGTCTCTACAAAAATACAATAATATTACCTAATATGTTATCTATTTATTTATTTATTTATTATATCATCTTATCATCTACTATGCACTAAACATTTGATATTATCGAAACTTATCACGTTTTTATCCTTTTTTTAATTATTATTCTGTTGGCATAATTTATCACATCTTGTTATACTTCAATTACAAAATAAGTCCTAAAAATACATTAAATAACAAATATTTATTTTATAAAAAAGCAAATACAAGTCATATTTAGTTTTTTAAAAGCAATTAAAAGTATTGAAAAATAATTCTTACGAAGAAATTTTTATTGAGTTTATGTTTGTATCTATTTTATATCATAAAAAGATTGAAATAATCATCAAAAAGCAATTATTTTTTTAAAATACAGGGAGACTTAAACCCACGTATATATATATTACGTTATCTTAATGCAATTCAGCCTTCCACAGATTTCGTTCCATGATTCAGTTTTTTTGTTCTTCACCAACCACGTTCTTCGCCGGAGCCTCCATTTTTTAGCTCCGGCAATGCTCTTCGCGGTGGCCGTCGTCCCCTGAACTCACCACTTCCCAGTCATGGGGATACCGTGGGACGACGTCGTTGTGATCCAGCAAGGGAAGGACCCCGGCGACCCCTGCATCGTCACCGTCAATTGCCCCGACAAGGCCGGTCTCGGCTGTGATCTCTGCCAAATCATCCTCGAGTTCGGTCTCCGCATTACACGCGCCGGTATCTCTCTTTTCCCATCTGGGTTTCTTCTTGCTCCAACAAATGTCAAATCTTTATCCATTTCAATCTCACACGTCTTCTCTCTATTCAAAATTCTGTTTTTTAATGACCCTTTTTGGCACATAGCAACTACTTAACAACAAAAGCCTATATCAAGTAGTACGAGATTGTTTAAGTATAGTCAGTGATCTCAACTCTCAGGTCTCAATTCTGTGTTTACTACTACTACGAGTCTATAGATCAACTGGTAGGAGATTATTTTGGTTTAACAAGTAATTTCAAGTCTGAATCCTATGTTAACTATTATGAGTCTATATTATTTAGTACAATATTGTTTAAGTCAAATCAGTGATCTCAATTCTGAATCTCTGGATCCTGAGTTAAACTATTGAATTCTATATTAACTAGTACCAGATAGTTTCAGGTTAATCTGTAATTTTAAGTCTCACTCTCGTGTTAAGTTCTGGGGTGAGAGTTTTGTCCCGACTGACTGGACTCTGGATGGAGATTATTTCAGTTCAACAAGTAGTCTCTATTTTGAGTCTTGTTTTAACTACTAGAAGTGAGAGTTTTGTCGTTCATGACAGGAGGTTGTCAATTCTGAGTCCTGTGTGAATTACTTGGAGTTAGAGTTTTGTCGTGTATACTAAGTTTCATCTTCCATTATTCTTGCAGTCTCTTACTTAAAAAAAAAAAAATGACAACCATTTGCTTTTTTTGATGTACTGTTTATTCATTGTTTGGGGCTACTTTGTTTTGTTGTGGCTGTTTTCATTAAAGTGTGATTTTGATGGTTGTGCAGATATTTCCACGGATGGAAGATGGTGCTACATCGTGTATTGGGTTGTTCCACATCCTGCATCGCTCAAAGTTGATTGGGAGAGTTTGAAGATTCGCCTTCTTTCAGCTTGCCCTTCATGTTTGTTTTCCTATTACTTCAAAAACTCCACGTGTCCCTCACCGCCTCCAGTTTACCTGTTGAAGGTTTGGTGTGTTGATCAAAAAGGATTGCTTCATGGTAACTAGTTGTTGTCATGTTTTCTCTTTTGGTTGGTTACCACAATTGAGGTACAGTTTTTGTTTGAGTGTTTGACACTGTTTTTTTTCCTTCCCTTGTAGATATTAATGAAATCCTGTGCAACCTTCAACTTATCATTCAGAGAGTCAAAGCGATGCCAACCCCAGATGGCAGGGTGTTAGACATGTTCTTTATCACCGATGGGATGTAAGTATGAGATTCTTGTTTGTATTCTGCATCTGCTTGATGCTCTTCTTTACTCCATTCAATCTATTTAGAATTTTCTGTAACATATGTCTCTGAAAGTGGGAACTCGATTGAAAGTATTTATCTGGGAGATTAATCAAAATTGGTATCAGAATTTGTGATGATATTTCTATTGCTCACTGGTTCTCTTTATCTTTTTAATATGCAAAAGTACGTGTGGCTTTTAAAGACCAATCTTTTTTTGCTTGTTTGAACGACAAATTAGCCAAATTTATTCTTATTTTATCTCTCTATTTGCAATATTATTGGGTATGTTATAATCAATGGATGGGATAAATGGAATGGATCACTGAATGAATTGAAGAAAAGACTGCTATTTGAAACCAAGGATTGAATCTTGTGTACCTAGATTCAAGAATATGATGCTGGTGGAATATAATAATTAAAATCAAAATATATTTGCTGCACTTGATTGTTCTGTCATCTGTAAAAAGACTACTAGGATAGAATGACTCGGAAACCCACTAAATTTAAATGACCTGAGCTAGACTTTAAAATTAACAATAAAAATTATATATTTTGTTGATATGGTTTGGACTTAGCTTGCCAGGAGCTCACTAAGAACAGATGTTATGTATTCAGCTCAAGAAATTTAGTTAAAGTTTCAAATTATCCAGTTCAATCTTTGACAATCGAACACTACTGCAGCTGCAACTTGGAATTAGGGGGAACTACATTGAAAATTCTGCAAAACTTATAGAGGAGCCAAGATGTAACTTTAGGCATATGGGAAAACTTTGCTCACACAAAATGAAAAGAAAAAATGAAAAGGACAAATTTGTTTTGTAGTTTCTGTCATTTCTTCTGCTCTTCATGCCTTCATGTTTATAAAACACACTTGAGCAGCAACCGTTGATTGAAGTTGGATTTTTCACAAACAGAAAGGCCAGTTACATTATCAGAAAATATATGCATGTCATGTCAATTTTCATCGACTTAATGTTTTTCTCTCTTAATTACCGCATAAGCTATGCCCTTTCATTTTTCACCTCAATTCTTGTAAAGATCATTCTAAATGATAAAAATCTGGATTTGGATGGACTATATACAAGTTAAACATCCGTCTGCTCCTGTATTTTTGTAGGTAGCCTGTAGCTTGTGTTAATTATGTGACATTTTGTAATTGTTTTAACAATAAAAACAGGGAATTGCTTCACACAAAGAAGAGGCAAGATTATGTATGTGAATATTTGAAGGAAGCTTTAGGAGAGAGGTGTATCTCCAGTGAACTTCAGTTGGCTGGGCCTGAATATGGACATTTGCAGGGTTTTTCTTCTCTTCCACCAGCTTTTGCTGAAGAATTATTTAGTTCTGAGCTGTTAGACAAGGTGTCTTTGCATCCTCTCAGCCAAGATATGAGAACACTGAAGACACCTACTGTTATTGTGGATAACTCACTGAGCCAGGCTCATACCCTACTTCAGATCCAGTGTGTTGACCAGAAGGGCTTGTGTTATGACATTATGAGGATTTCTAAGGACTCTGATATTAAGGTATTCCTGAATTGTTATTTATTCACGCACACACAAGGCCTTCTGCTTCTCCCCTCGTGAACCATGTTTACATCAAACTGAATCAAAGGAAGCAACCTGATCATACAGTAAACATTTGAAACATGAAGTTAAAGTCTAACCCAACGGGTTACTTTTTCACAAGTTAAAATTAAGATTTTGATGAAATTAATTAAAGGTTTATACAGGAAAGTTTATTTCATTATTTTTCTTCCTATTTTTCTCTCCTAAAAATAATTTTTTACTTTTAGGAAAAGTTTACTCAAACCGATCCTAAATCTAATTGCTTTTCAGCTTGGCCTGACATTCTCTCTGCATGTTTTAATCTTCACTCGTTATCTATTGATCTTATTCTGCTCAATTATTCTTGGATTCACTTTTCGTATTCAATTTCTAACCTTTTTGTATTTACATATTTCTCAACCAGGTTGCTTTTGGTCGATTCTCTTCAAGTGTTAAAGGCTTTCGAAACATAGACTTATTTGTCCAGCAAAAAGATGGGAAAAAGATCATAGATCCTGAGAGTCAGAAAACTTTGTGTTCAAGCTTGAAAGAAGAGATGCTTCATCCATTGAGGGTGATCATAGTGAACCGGGGCCCAGATACAGAACTACTAGTTGCTAATCCTGTGGAACTGTCTGGAAAGGGAAGACCCCGTGTATTCTATGATGTTACATCTGCTTTAAAGGCTCTAGGAGTATTCATTTTCTCGGTAAGTCTTTTTGTTAAAGCTTATTGGAACAATTTTGGAACAAACTTTGGTTCTGTTTAGATAAACTAAATTTGTCGATATACTAAAATCAGTTTATGTACTGGCTAGTTTTTAGTTTTATATTAACTATTTCGAAAGCTTATTTTTAACTTGTATATACACTAGTTTTAGTTTAAAAAGTTGATTGATTTATTTATTTTTGAAGAAATTTATCTGACCATATTTAAATGTTTCTGAGCAAAAGCTGTTTCTGAGTTTTTGACATATTGTAGGCTGAAGTTGTTAGACATTCAACACAAGAACGGCAATGGGAAGTGTATAGATTTTTGTTGGAAGAAAGCCGTGAGTTTCCATTGACCAGAAGCCAAGCAAGAAGTCAGATTGTGGACAAAGTTAGAAGAACATTGATGGGCTGGTAATCTGTTTCAGTATCAAATGAAAAGCACTATAAGTTCAGTGTGCCTTTATGTTATTTAAATCTCAACTTGGTTTACCCTTTAAATATGGTTTAGGTAGCATGTATCTAATCAACGACAATCATGTAATTTTATATGATTTTAGCATTGTAGATCATCTTATAAGTTTTCTGTACATTGATTTTATGTTCAGCATAATTCTTTATGCCAAATCTGGATTTCCTTCTCATGACATGGGCTCCAATAAATCTGGCCTTCTAGTATAGGGTAGATATCTTTCGTTATTCTAAAATATTGTTGATTCAAGATGTCGAATATTTCATCATGTTTTTATTTATTTTATATAACTAAATTTATAATATATAGTTTATTATTATATTATAATTAAAATTTATAATTAATAAATAATCTTAAACATACAAATTTTTAGATTTATGATAAATAATTTATATTATGAAATAAATTTATTTTTAATTATTAATAATCTTTAAAAAAAGACAAAAATTTAAAAATGTTAAAAATGATATTCAAATAGATCAGTAGTTAACAAATTTGATATAAAAATGGTTCAGATGAATAATATGTGTATTTTAAAGAAGAATATATATTTTATTTTGATATTCAGTTATTCTTATTGGATATTTAAATAATAAACAATACATGTAACATATAAGAGACATTACATGTCTGTTAGATAATAGATGGCATAAGTAAAATATAAGAGATATTTGTCCTTTAGGAGAATAAGGTTTACAGGTTTACAACTTCACATAGAAGAAAGTATTTAAATGAAAAAGATGGTGAGTCGGAGTGAAATGGTGAATTTTCTCAGTTATGTAAATGGTGAACAGAGAATTCAAAAATAAGATAAAAAATGAATTTTATTTAATTGCTTGTTTTTATATTATTAAATTAACTAAAATTTTATATTAACGATAAATTTTATGATTTAAAAATAACATTCTTAAGTTAGACAAGTAGTATTGTCATATATTTATTATCCGGCTTACGCATCTGCTGCTTTGACCGCTCAAGTTGCGCTCACCCTGGCCGCTGATTTAGGGAAGAGAAAAATGGAATTGATACGTGTACGGTCAGATTCGCAAGAGGCTTTTACGTGACATCGTTAAAGCCTTTGAAGTCAACTCCTAGGAAAGAGTAAACTAATGATATACTATAAGAAAAAAATAATCATTTCATACTATCAAAGAAAATTACTTATTTGAATTAAATTATATTAATTTTATAATATTTTTTCAAATTATTTTTATTATAAATAAAAAATAGTATAATTGGAAGGTTGCACGTTAAAATATAAGTATTTAAAGAATACCATTAAATGAAATAAAAGTAATTAAAATTTACTTATTGTATCTAAAAACAAAGATCATGTGTTTTTTGTTGTTTAAAATAAAAAAAAAAAATAGAGGAAGTATATAATAATTTATATAACATATCTCCTTTTATAATAGAGAAAGTGATAGAATAAAATAGATAAAAAAATAATAATAAGACAAAATTTAGGTAAACTATCATAAATCTCAAATTTATCGAAAAATAACATCAACAACCCACTTAGAATACTAAACACTTTGATTTGTCTAAAACAATGATATTATACAGGTTGTACAATTTTATTCTACATATATAGTTACTTCTTAGAGAACACAAACTATTCCCCGGTTTTAGTATTAGAGTTAATCATCCATATATTGTTAGTGTAAAATTTTTTATACTGACAACCAATCATATCTTTTAAAATTACTTGTTTTATTATTATTTCATTAAATAAACAAATGACATGGTACTATTAAAAGATATGATTAGTTGTCAATGTAAAAAATTTTTACACTGACAGTGCATAGGTGATTAAGTCTTAATATTATTGTATCTTTTTTAAATTCTTGGTTTGTTTGTAATTCTGGATATGTTGGTCTCGGAAGTTCATAGTTCAGTGCGAAAGGTTATTTTTTATTTTTATTTTTTACTTATTGGAATTATGTAGTATCAAGAAATTTATAATAACACACATGCTTTACTCAGTATTTTTAATCATAATATGCCTCTTTGTTATAATATGTGTTTAAAATGTTTTATATGAATTAAGGGAGTTAAATATAAGATAACATTTATTTTTAAGTTAATCATCCATATATTGTCAGTGTAAAGTTTTTTATATTAACAAATAATAATCAATCATATCTTTTAAATTATTTTATTTTATTTTTATTTTATTAAATAAGTAACTGACATGACACTATTAAAAAATATGAATGATTGTCAATGTAAAATTTTTTTACACTAACAGTATATAAGTGATTAACTCTTTATTTTTATTTCTCAAGTTTAAATATAACTTTTTGGTATCAAATGTTATTTTCATTTCACATAACTTAACGGTATCACGCATCATAATCTTTTAGATATTAAAACTAAACTTAAACTTATTTAAAAAATCTAAAATTATTTTTTAAAATATTTAGACTAAAATCAAAGTTTTATATATTTTTAGAATATCATACTTATGTATGTATTCGGGTGTTATTAATGTTATTTAATTAAAATTGAAATTTGACTTGGATAATATGTAAAGGTATTTAATGAAACTATTTATTATATATATAATTCGGGTATAATATATTAATCTTTGTGCTTTTATTTCAAGCGTACTTGCGTAGAATTTTTAATGTAAATAGAATTTTTTTTAAAAAAATTACAAAAATAACATCTGTTACACTTTATTTACATAACTAGAACTAATTACTGTGCACACTCAGAATTCGGTTCCCGGGAACCGAATTCTGAGCTTAAATTATTTTTTTTTTGTGATCATTCGGTTCCCGGGGAACCGAATTCTGAGTTTTTTTTTTTTTTTTTTTTTTTTTTTTTTTTTACGTTTGTGGCACAATTTAAGAGAATCTTGAAAGTGGAACGGGCCGTTCCAGAAGCAGAACGGCCCGTTCTGCTTAAACTCATATAGTGTTATTTTTGAAATTGGAACGGCCTGTTCTTGGCCCGTTCCAATTTCAAAAATAACACTCTATGTGTTTAAGCAGAACGGGTCATTCTGTTTCCGGAACGACCCGTTCCACTTCTAAGATTCGCAAACATTGGGCCACAAACGAAAAAAATTTTTAAAACAACTCAAAATTCGGTTTTCAGGGAATCGAATTCTAATAAAAAGAAAATTTTGAAGCTCAGAATTTGGTTCCCTGGGAACCGAATTCTGAGTATGAACAGCAAAATCATCTATACAATATGCAAAAAAATTCTGAGGAATTCTGATAGATGTTATTTTTGTAATTTTTTATAAAAAAAATTTTATTTACATAAAAAAATTCTACTTGCGTATACAATATGCAAAATGCGAAGCTATTCGGCGTTCAACATTGAATAGCTTTTGTTTATACATATGAAGACAAAATCAAAGGCAGGTATAAAAAGGAAACAACGATTATGTAGCCGGCGGACAATAGTTCCTTGAAGCCGTCCATTCAACTGTACAAAATTTATGCCCTTAATATTATGATTTACAATTAAAACAAATAAATATACAAGAAAAAAATTATCTCAGCCATTAGATTGTCACTCCACCATCCTCACTTGCTTTTCAATCCCTCATCAGCAGTGATTCATGTACTTAATAGGATTATCTTGTCCAAAAAATATACTTGGTCTTTTGAAAATAGGACAAAACTTTAGATTAAATGTAAATAATATTATTTAATTAAAATTAATTTATTTTTATTATATATTATATAGATAAAATTTTAATGATTAATTAAATCATCTTTGAATATAAATTAAAATTAAATTCTTCAAAGTACTAATCATGAAAATAGGTCACACTGTTTTAAGAAAACTTGTGATCTAATTTACATGATATGTTAGACTAAAACTTTTATTAAATTCTATTTAGTTAAAAATAGAATAGACTTTATTGTCTTTTAAAAAGTTTATTAAAACTATAATAAACGATTTATTTAAATAAAATAAATAAATATTTATTATTATTGTACATTTCTAACTTTTTCCAAGAAGATTTGATAGAAAATTTTTAGTCAATCATCCTAAACATTCATTGAGAGTATACTTCAATTTAATCTATACATCTATCATATTCAAGGATTGTATAATACCCTTCCAACTTTTTGTCTAAAGATTTTGATTAAGTACTCTAAATATTTGTCGAAAGGTTTTGATCGAGAGATTTAGGCCAAGAGGATTTTGGTTAAATATCCCAAAAAGATTTTGGTCAAGTAACCCACCAATCATATCTTTTATAGACAAGTAACTTGATCTCAAAGGGATGTCGACACAAATCCGACTTGAAACTTGTATTTGACATATAATTTTACCCTTATTAGTCAAAATCACACAATGACAAGTAATTACATTATTAATTCCTGAAATGAACTCGTAAACTTATAATAATGAAGTCTTAACTCTAAAATAAAAATAAACATATTATACTTTTAAATATTTTGACTTTAATTGAGCATATAAACTAATCTTAGATGTTCTTCATATCAAAACAATCTTGTTATGAAGTATTAAAATCACACATTTATTTACTTATATAAATATTAAACATGTTGACTTATATGAAAAAAAAACTTATAAATTTATTTAATGATAAATTGATGTAATATTTAATGATCTTATTACAAAATTTGTTATAAATAAGTTATATTAAACCTTAAAAATATATCATGATATTAAACTATAAAAATAAAATACCTATGATATTTATAATTGTGTATGCAAGTCTTATACTTATTTTTCTTTATCTATAAAGAATTATAATAAAGCGGACAAAGTTTCAACTCAAGGTTTTATTTATATTATCTCAAATCCCACCAATTTTAATAAGAGTTAATTATTTATATACTGTTAGTGTAAAAAAAATTTACACTAACAATTAATTATATCTTTTAATTATGTCATGTCACTGTTAAAAGTAAATGTTTTTATAGTGACATGATACAATTAAAAAATATAATTAGTTACCAGTGTAAAAGAACTTTACACTGACAATATATAAGTGATTAAGTCTTTTAATAAATGATCATATTATTAATATGAAATGTTGACTTTGTAATGACTGATTTAATAATGTTTGCCAAACCTAACATTTGGATAAGTTTTCTCCCTCACTTTTAAATTTTAATATATACTCCTATTACATATTTTGATTCATTCTTAATTTTTTTTATTTATAAAACTGATATTACCATTTTTTATGCTTCATAGAGAGTGTTACTCCCGAGGAAGGTAGTTGAATCGAAAGAAACGCCATCGGAAACATGTGCACGTTGGAGAAGAGAGGCAGCATCTTCATCCTAACACTCTCCGGCGACGGCGAGCACCGCCTAAACCCTAATCTCCTCAATTCCATCCAATCCTCCCTCCGCCGCGTCCGCCACGAAGCCACCGCCTCCTCCGTCCTCATCACCACCGCCCAAGGCAAATTCTTCTCCAATGGCTACGACCTCGCCTGGGCCCAATCCTCCCCGCTGGAGCGCATGACACACATGGACGACCTCCTCCGCTCCGTCGCCTCCGATCTCCTATCCCTCCCCATGCCGACCATCGCCGCCGTCACCGGCCACGCCTCCGCCGCCGGCTACGCCCTCGCTCTCGCGCACGACTACGTCCTCATGCGCCGCGACAGGGGATTCCTCTACATGAGCGAGCTCGACATCGATCGCGTCATTCCGGCGTGGTTCGTCGCCTTGCTCGCCGCCAAGGTCGGCTCGCCGGCGGCTCGGCGCCGCATCGTCTTGAACGCGGCGAAGCTGACCGCCGAGGAGGCGCTGCGGCTGGGCGTGGTGGACTCGGCGTACGCCTCCGCCGCGGAGACCGTTGAGGGTGCGGTTGACCTAGCCGCTGAGTTGGGGAAGAGGAAATGGGAGGGACACGTGTACGCTCAGAATCGGAAGCGGCTTTTGGGTGGCGTCATTAAAGCCGTTGAAGACACCTCTGAGAGAAACGCAGAGACTTCTTCGCGCCTTTAGCCTTTGGGTAAGCCTCCGTGTGCTCAAATAATATAGCCTCCGCTGTTTATTCGGCCTTTTTGTTTTTTTGTAGCTTTTGCTATGTTGGGCTATGAAGTCCAATTTATTGGACTTAAAAGATTTGTACTAATTAAATGGGTTTAATATGTTTTTTTTTTCAAAGGTGTCATTTCCATTTCACATGACTTAAAATTAAACTTTTACATATTTAATAAAATTAATATATACATATTTAATAAAAAGATTTGTACTAATTAAATGGGTTACATATGTTTTTGTAAAATTAAAAATATAATATTATAAAAAAATTGTATATTTATTTAATATTTGTCCGATGCATGTCTAATTGTTGAACGTTAAATATCGCGTGATCACCATCATTTAAAAAGTCAAAATTGAACTATGCTTGATACCGATTGTTGTGATGTTGAACGAGGCATTAAGTATTCAACAACTCCTTTGGTGATTTTTGTGACAAAGATTTTGAAGTTCAATAATGATATCATAGTAATGACACTTACCAATATTTTTCTTAACTATTTTTAAGAATAAGGAATGAATGAGTACCTTGGTGAAAAAGTCTTCTTTTATACGGAGAACTTTAGTGATAAAGTTAATTACATTTGTTATGCTACATAAATAGTGTTGGTAGGTGTGAAAAATGTGGTAAGTGTCTTGCTCTTAAATATAAATCATTAGTATGGTTTTATTTAGGGTTTATTATGGATAGACCTAGACCAAGTGTAACACAGTATGAGTAAGTTGCATTTATGTTAGACTGACTTTTAGAACCATAATAAAACTTGGTCACAATTTCACTATAAAATAATTTTTAAGGTATTGATTAAAGAAGAAGAAAATTTCCTCTAATTTTCCAAACTTTCTTTGTCCTTAAAAGACATTTTTATGATTTCTCCTTAATTTTTTTAAAATCTTATATAAATAATATCAAAGAATTAATCAACAATTAAAAGTAAAATAGACCGTAACCATAGAAAAATAGTATTTTCAAATTTGTGATTAAGTAATTTTTATTTATACACGTTATCCTCGAAGTACTATAGTATCCATCCACATTCACTATCATTAGATAAATTATTTTCTTTTTCAAAAATACAATATGTATTGTTTTATTATTGGTTGTATCCAATAATGTAAATTGAATATGTGTATACAAGTTTAATTAACTTTTCATGCAAAAACTTAGAAATTAAATCACATCCAACTTGTTTGAATAATCTAACTATTTTCTATACGCATTAAATATCACTTCAAAGCAGAGTTGAAAATTAAATAAACCAGCATAAAATTCATTAGAGAAATATTTATGGGTCTTTTGAGTATCATTAGTCTAAATAAAATAAGATCAACGAATTATTATGTCAATATAATTTTTTTACTTAAATATATTTTTAGTACATGTAAAATAAGTGAATTTTAATTTTAATCCTTATAATATTTTTTCTTTATTTTTCATTCTTCTAAATTTTATAAACATTATTTTTGTTCCTTATGAAATCAATAAATTTTGATTTTGATCTTGTAAAATATTTTTTTTTCATCTCTTTTAATTATAAAACTATTATTTTTAGTTTTTAACGATCATTTTAAGATAAATAACATGTACTTTAAGTGTTTATAAAATATTTTAGAGGTTTCAAATACTACCGTAATATCATTAACAATTGTATGTAATACCTATGATGATCACTTAACATTTTAATTAATAAAATGTAGTTAAAAATGATTAGTTGATCACATTAAAAATAGGAAATAAAAACAATAATTTCAATGTTAGAAAGACGAAAATAAAAAAAATATTTTATCAGTATCAAAATCAAAACTTGCTAATTTTATAGGGATTAAAAATTGATTTTATTTTTTTATTCATCATTATCATCTTTATTGTAATATATAAATTGACTTATCTATTTTTTTAATTAAGTTATTCATTTTTTTTTGGTAACAATTCATTTATTTATTTTTCAATGGAACATATTTTTTACATATAAAATCTAATGATTGCAACATATACTTCAATAATAATAATAATAATTATTATTATTATTATTATTATCTTTTATAAAATGATATATATCTGTAAGTTATGTACAAATGCTAATACATTTATAATTACAATAATCATATATTTTCTTTTTAAAATTATGCATCTATAAAAATTGGTAATTACACCAATATCCTTGGAATTTTGTGACATTTCACACGACTCTTAACTTTTTCTATTTTTACATTAACTCTATTAGTTATTTCAAATGCAGTGCAACATCCTCTTAGACTTTACACTACTCCATTAATTAAAATTAAAGTAACAACAGCCATTCATGTTTTTTCTATTTTTTAAAAATAAAATTAAAATAAAACAGGGAGAGAAAAAGTTTGGAGATAAATAAAAATTGAAAATGCGAAATTACTCTATAAGGATTAAAGGAGAAAAGGGAAGTCAAATAGAAAGCGAAACGTAATGAAAAGTATAGCGGTTATTTAAAACTAGTAAAAAAAAAAAATTAGTATCTTCATTAAAAAAAATATTAAGTGATTCTGCAAAAAATAAAAATAGATGAGTAATTATTATTTATAAAGAAGATAATTATATATATATATATATATATATATATATATTCTATTTAAATATTATCTTTGAAAGATATATGAGTGAAAACGAGGTTAGAATATATCGTATAAGTATAAATGTTTAACAAAAAGTAGAAACTAAAACGAGATATCTCTTGTGTAATTGTTATAGATTAAAATTAAAAAAAATAATAATTAAGAAATACATTTAAACAATGTAATAACATAAAGACCGATCTAAAGTTACGGATCACTTTTTTTTTTTCTTCATAATGTTAAAAACCAATTTAATTGTTAGAGCACCTCTAACGGGAGGTGCTTCCTGTGTTGCTTATTGTTAAGCAACCGTGCTTGTTAGAAACCCTTATTGAAGTGATCTTACATGTCACCTGGGTTGCTTAAAATCTTTTTTGTGTTGCTTGTACAAGGCATGGTGCTTAGCACTTAGGAGACAAATTTGATTGGCTAAAATGTATCTACGTGAAATATGGGTCAGATTTATGAAAATAAAAAAAACTGAAAAAACCATGTTCACCTCATCTTCATCTTCTCCGCACGACACCCTCTGCACAACGGACCACCGGTGAAAAGTGAGTGAAATGAAAGAAAACGTGAGGGAGAGATGTGATTTTTTATATTTTTTTATGTATTATGTAATTTTTTATATTTTTTTTTATATTATGTAATTTTTCTTATTATTGTAATTTTTGGTATTTTTTTTATTATTTAATTTTTGGTATTTTTTTATTATAATTTTTTGTATTTTTTATTATGATATTTTTTTATTATTGAAAATTTTTAATTATATAATTTGTTTTAATTATTAATTATTTATATTTATATATTATTCATAATAATTAATTTTATAAAAAAATTATCATAAAATATAATGTGAGGTGTCAAAAAGTGTAGTATGAGTTGTAAAAAAGTTGAGGTGCTTATAAGAAATTTTCATTGAAGTAAAAGTTGTAAAAATATAATATGAGTTGCTTATGAATGACGTGGCACAGTGAGACCCATTTAAACTTAAAGTAGTTAGGAGTTGCTTAAGCAACTCCTATTGTAGATGCTCTTAGAGTCTCTTAAGGAAAATGATAGTGTTTTTGGCGAAGAACCAATTTAAGAAGTTATTGTTTTACCTCATTTTCTTTTTTGGTCTTATGCCTCATCTTATTTATAGAAGAGAGAGAAAAGCGAAAAAGACACCACAGTGCACAGGTAAACTAACACAGAAACCGCGAGATGCCCGAAAGTGTGTTTTTTGTGTCAGTCTAAATAATGCACTTCATTTCACATGACAGAACAATTTTTTAATGCAAATGTACCCTTGTGAGAACAGAGTTGTTCATGGGGCATTTATTGTAGAGCAGTCATTGATTCATCTCCTTCACACAATTTTGACCTATGATTTATGTTTCAACGTTCATCTATCTGTCTATCACCAGTAGGCATGAAGCATGTCAACTTAACTGGACTTTGTTCATATCAGCCAATGGTTAAATTTTTATTTTTATTTTTTATCAAAAGCTTATACTAAAACCTTTGTCCCTTTGTAATGTTAACTTTTTTTTTTAATGAATCATGGTATCCACCCTTCAGAAGTTAAAGACATAGATGCAAAGATTGCACTCCTAATCACGTACTTATAAGATAAATTTATCATTTCACACTATGTTAGTTTTGATATGTTAATCTAAGTAATGGTCCCTTCAATTTAAACTTTTGATTTCTTGGTGTGATCTAGTTGGAAGTGTGGTGAATTAATGTTTTAACTTTTCAGGTACCCCATAACATAATTAAAGTCTCTGAGATGCTCCTCTTTTACAAGTATAAAATGATTACATCTATGTATCTCTCTATTTTAATTCAATTGATTATTGAATGTTTGTGTTTGATAAATTCAGACAATATTAAAACTGTGCCTAATATTGGACTCCAAAAAGTTGGACTCAAAGTAAAGGGGTGCCTTAAATTAGACTCAAAGTACAAAACCACATAATGATCTAAACTGAAAGTGCATAATGGTTTCACAATCTCAATGAGTGCAGAAAATTCCTGAGATCCATGCCTCATACAGCACTTGAGGTCTTAAACTGGTGGTTCCTTAACAACAAAGGGTTTTTCATGGCTGACACATGCTATACTACCGAGAAAGTAAAAACATTAATATGTATGAAGTTATGAACACTCTGTGACACTGGCAATAATATGAAGTTACGCACACTTTATGTGACATTGGCAATAGTATGAACACTAGCCGTGACATTGGCAATAATGTGAACGCTAGGTGTGACATACACAATAATTACAAGGCTAGCATGAAAGAAAATGTGAACATGTTAATGAGAAACGAGAACACTATCAAAAACTTCAACTTATGCATTAATTATCATGCAATCCACTGGTCTCACCTTAAGATCTTTAGCCCCAAACTACCACGTGATTCAACTAACTTGGAATAAATGGGCATGGTCGTCATATGAAGCCCCTTGATCTGTTAGGTTTCTACATTGCTACAATGAATGTTTATGAACAATCTGTCCCTGCTTGTTATGCATACTAGTCCATGCCTTTAGGTATACATATCTGAGTATCATAATTGGTGAGTGGTTACCACTAGTAACCATGTTTTGATAAACTTACTCATAAGCACTTACTTATAAGAGAAGAAAATAAGAATATAAAATAAAATAAACTTATTTCACAAATTAAAATTAACTCACACATAAGTTAAAATAACTTTTAAAGAAGTTAAATGGAAGAATTTCTTCGAATTAATTTAGATATTAACTAATTTTACCTTATATAAAAGAAGTTTATTTTATTTTTTCTTATAATTTTCTTCTCTTATAAGTTATTATGGAGAAATTTAGCCCGATAGGACACCACAGGAGAAGTGAGTGATGAAAAAGTGAGTTTCTCCTTCATTCCATATATGATAGAACCCTATTGATAATCCACTTATACCGTTCCAATGCAGCATAGTTAACCTAAGAAAGAACAAGTGGGTTATTTACAGTTCAATTGGTTGATAAGGTTCAACATAGAACTGAAAATTGAAAAGCATATGCATAAGCTCTATAATATTAGAGAAGCTATATAGCTAATGGCAAGAGGGTGCAACTTTATTCCCTTATAGTTTCTCATAACCGCATGAAACATTAAGGGACTGAGCCAGTGAATCCAAATGGACATGCTTACCAAATAAATTTTACATGTAAGATTGAAAAAGACATAGTTGTGGAGATAATTAAACACTAAACAGCAAGCATTCTGAATGACAGACATCAAATCACAACTAAACATATTTCTACATAGTAGTTAGAAAAACTCTTCATAATAACAAAGGTGGAAATGGAAATTTTAAATAAATCTCCTCAACAGTTAAAACTCAAAATACATGTAAGTTTTCCCTTGTGATAGGCCAAACGAAATTAGTCATGAGACTCATGACTCATAACTCATAATGCTGTCTCATTCTTCTATTTACAACTGTCATAAATAGGTTTTCCAAAGGTAAAAGTGTGCCAAAAGTAAAATCGGAAACAGGTGATTGAAATAATTTGGTACAGACCGGAAAAAGGTATTTCTACATTTGATAGTCAATACCATGTAGTTATACTTTATGCCCATCCATTTCTATATATATCTTTGAATTGCTGACATCTCATTAAAAGCGTGCAGTCTTGAAATAGAAGAAAAGTAAAGAGAAGGTAAACTCTTTTATTTAATTGCAATGAGAATATATAGAAAGTTAAAGCTTAAACTTCTAATACTTATTTAAGATTTGATGTGACGAGTTTATTAACATTCATTATTCCATTAACTATTTTAGATTAATATCACTACCTCAATCTGTCTACGATCTCTATCTCACTGCATTGCATACTTTGCATACATATTTTAATTATCTATATTCCTAAAGTACCCAATATTTTAAGATGAGAGATCACTGGATCAGCTCGTAACTAGAAACTACGTTTCTCTTAGAAAGCAAGATGTGACAATAACTTGTAAACAAAACTAGTCTATAGAAGTTTGGAAATGGCATACTATTATTTCCTATTTTAATTTTTGTTGGATGGAAGATTCTAATGCATATATTTTAGGACCTCAGTAGCCATGATGTGTTAATCCCTTTCTTCATTGTTTGCAGGCATCATGATCTTTAGGATGCTTATCCTATCTGTGGCTTTTATGGTGACAAATTCAATAGCTCTCACAGAACAACAAACATACATAATACACATAGACAAGACCAAGATCGAAGCCTCAATTCATTCTCAAGACAGCTCAAAACCATGGGTTGAATCAATCATTGATTTCATTTCTCAAGCTTCAATGCAGGAAGAAGAAGAGATTTTAGCTCCTCGACTCCTTTATACCTATGAAAACAGCATGTATGGTTTTGCTGCTCAGCTTTCCAAGAAACACCTAGAATACTTGAACCAAGTGGATGGTTTCCTCTCAGCCATACCTGATGAACTATCAACTCTCCACACAACATACACTCCACATTTTCTTGGCCTGAGGAATGGAAAATCACTTTGGACTGCTTCTAACTTGGTCTCAGAAGTGATCATTGGGGTCCTTGATTCAGGAATATGGCCTGAACACATCAGTTTCCAAGATTCAGGTATGTCCCCAGTACCTTCTCATTGGAAAGGTGTTTGTGAGCAAGGCACCAAGTTCTCTTCCAAAAATTGCAACAAGAAGCTTATTGGTGCAAGAGCCTATTACAAGGGGTATGAAAACTATGCTGGAAAGATCAATGAAACAGTGGATTATGTTTCCCCAAGAGATTCCCAAGGGCATGGAACACACACTGCCTCAACTGCAGCTGGTGATGTGGTGAAAAATGCCAACCTTTTTGGCCAGGCTAAAGGCACAGCAAGTGGAATGAGGTACACCTCAAGAATTGCAGCTTACAAAGTATGCTGGCCTTCTGGTTGTACTAATTCCGATGTGTTAGCCGCCATGGATCAAGCGGTTTCTGATGGGGTTGATGTGTTGTCACTCTCTTTAGGTACTATTCCCAAGCCTTTTTACAATGACAGTATTGCAATAGCTTCATTTGGAGCAACCAAGAGAGGAGTTTTTGTTGCTTGCTCTGCAGGCAACTCGGGCCCCTTTCCATCTACAGTTGCAAATGGTGCTCCATGGATCATGACAGTTGCTGCTAGCTCCACTGACCGAACCTTTCCAACAAAGGTGAAGCTTGGCAATGGAAAAAGTTTCAAAGGGTCATCTTTATATCAAGGTAAGAATACAAACCAATTGCCCCTTGTCTATGGAAAATCAGCGGGTCCAAAAAGGGAAGCACAGTATTGCATTGAAGGCTCCCTTGATCCAAAGCTTGTGCATGGGAAAATAGTTGCTTGTGAGAGAGGAATAAATGGTAGAACTGAAAAGGGAGAGGAAGTGAAAGTGGCTGGTGGAGCAGGA